AGCAGCTGGGACTAGAACCGGCGCCCATACGGGATGCTGGCACTTCAGGCCAGGGCTTTAACCCACTGCGCCACAGCGCCAGCCCCCTCCATGTAATTTTTAAAGTGCCTTCAAATGACCACAGACCCACTGGTCCTATCATATGTCACACCATTCTGAAGCTGCCAGTCTGAGATCAGTAGGACCACCTTTTAAAGACATAGCTTAGGTATCAGCTCAGAGATGACAACTGCCAGAATCCTGTAGGATGTGGTATACATTTTTTTTGATAGGTAGAGTTATAGACAGTGAGAGAGAGACAGAGAGAAAGGTCCTCCTTCCATTGGTCCACTCCCCAAATGGCTGCTACGGCCGGCACTGAGCCGATCCGAAGCCAGGAGCCAGGTGCTTCCTCCTGGTCTCCCATGTGGGTGCAATGCCCACGCACTTGGGCCATCCTCCACTGTCTTCCCAGACCACAGCAGAAAGCTGGATTGAAAGAGGAGCAACCAGGACTAGAACCCAGTGCCCATATGGGATGCCAGCGCTGCAGGCGGAGGATTAACCAAGTGAGCCATGGCGCCAGCCATATGTATATATTTTTAATAATGGAGAAAAATCTTAGGACCATCTCAATATATGTACATCATCTGATAATTTTTTTAAGATTTATGAAAAACAGTGACTTGATCAGCCCTTGTCCTGACTGTTGATGTACAATTTAATACTTTATCCCTTTTAGTTTTTTTTTTTTTTGTTCTAGTTAACACTATTGGTTGAACTCTGTAATTAACACACATTTATTCTTAGGTGTTGAAATTCAACTGAAAAGTGATCCCTGTTAAATATAAGAGTGGGAATGAGAGAGGGAGGAGATGTACAATTTGGAACATGCTCAATCAGACTTGCCCCAAATGGTAGAGTTAGAAATGTGGCAGGGGATTCCAATACAATCCCATCAAGATTGCATGTACCAATGCCATCTCACTAGTCCAAGTGATCAATTTCAGTTCACAATTGATCACACTGATAGGTCTGAGAGTCAAAGGGATCACACAAACAAGACTAGTGTCTGCAAATACTAACTGATAGAATAAAAAAGGGAGAGAACGATCCAACATGGGAAGTGGGATACACAGCAGACTCATAGAATGGCAGATGTCCTAAACAGCACTCTGGGCTCAGAAGCAGCCCTTAAGGCATTCAGATCTGGCTGAAGAGCCCATGAGAGTATTTTAGGCATGGAAAGCCAAGACACTCTGGAAAAAAAAAAAAAAAAAACTAAATGAAAGATCTCTGCGAGTGAGATCCCGGTGGAAAGAACAGGCCATCAAAGGAAGAGGTACCTTTCTCTGAAGGGAGGGAAGAACTTGCACTTTGACTATGACCTTGTCTAAATAAGATCAAAGTCAGCGAACTCAAGAGGCTTCCATAGCCTTGGAAACGCATGACTAGAGCCTAGGGAGATTTCTGACGCCATAAACAAGAGTGCCAAATTGTTAAATCAACAACAGGAGTCACTGTATACTTACTCCTCATGTGGGATCTCTGTCCTTAATGTGTTGTCCAATGTGAATTAATGCTGTACTAGTACTCAAACAGTATTTTACACTTTATGTTCTGTGTGGGTGCAAACTGATGAAATCTTTACTTAATATATACTAAATCGATCTTCTGTATATAAAGATAATTGAAAATGAATCTTGATGTGAATGGAGTGGGAGAGGGAGCAGGAGATGGGAGGGGTGCGGGTGGGAGGGAAGTTATGGGGGGGAAGCCATTGTAATCCATAAACTGTACTTTGGAAAATTATATTTACTAAATAAAAGTTTTTTTTTTTTAAAGATTTATTCAGTCATCTAAAAGTCAGAGTTACACAGAGAGAGGAGAGGCAGAGAGAGAGAGAGAAAGAGAGAGTCTTCCATCCGATGGAATCACTCCCAGTTGGCCACAATGGCCGGAGCTGCACTGATCCAAAGCCAGGAGCCAGGAGCTTCTTCTGGGTTTCCCACGTGGGTGCAGGGGCCCAAGGATCCAGGCCATCTTCTACTGCTTTCCCAAGCCACAGCAGAGAGTTGGATCAGAAGTGGAGCAGCCAGGTCTCGAACCAGTGCCCAGTTGGGATGCCGGCGCTTCAGGTCAGGGCATTAACCCACTGCACCATAGCGCCAGCCCCAGGATATGATATACATCTTAAACCAATGACTACTATACAATACTGCATCCTAAGAATGCATGTGTTCAGGAACGAAGGGTCGCAAGTAGGAGTATCCATGCTGACCACTTAGCAGAAAAGAGGGAGAATTCAGATGGAACCCAGGGGCTCCCTGGGGCACCTCTTGGTACTTCACGATGCCATGTGGAAGGCCAGTGAGCAAGGGCAGCAGCGAGGTGACCAGGGCTCAGGCTCCCCAGGCTTCCCCCAGGTCAGCAGAGGTGTTACCTGAGGGCGGGCAACAAAGGAGGGAGGCGGGGACTATCAGCCGCTACCCAGGACAGCCGTGGTAACCCGACTGCAATTCATCCAACGCACTTTCCTTTTATAAGATTCTGCACGAAAAGACATCAATCAGAATCCTGCAAAAGCTGCTTAAGTATGGGGTGAAGTTACCGTAGGAAGCAAGCGGACCAGAGCAGTACAGGCGTGGGCCGCTGGGGCGCGGTGGCGCTGCCCGGGTGCCCCCTGCAGGACTGCTCACCTGCGGGGATTGTTGTCCCCCAGGGCTCACAACTGAACTCGCCCAGGCACGGCCCCCGCGGAAGCAGCTGCCTCACTCAAGCCACACCCGCTTTCCGGGAACAGCTCTCAGCCAACGACCAACTCGGAAGAGACCCCAGCCTGAGAACTCGCTGTGGCGTTGGCGGACACCGCTGCTTCTACCTCCCCTTCTCTCCTTCCAGGCCTGCCTCCCTCAGCCTCGCTCCGCGAGCCACCTGCCCACAAGTCGCTGTCTCAGAGTGTGTTCCCAGGGAACCCAACGAATGTCCATGCACGTTCAACAACAGGAAGGCAACCACCAGAACAAAAAACCAGTGTAAAAGGTTGCATGTGGCTTTCTCCAGAGGCATGGCAGGGGGGTGGGGGGACGGTCGTTATGTGACCTGCATGTTCTGTTGTTTTTACCATGTGCAATTATTCCTTCTGTAATTAAAACATTTTCACTAAAACATTTAAAGAATCCTGTTTTAAATCTTTATGTTACTTCCCATGGCCCTTAGAGAATCCTTACAAATCCCTCCCCAGCTGGCACCTGCTGGATTTTCTTTTTTCTTTTTTTAAGATTTTTAAAAATGTATTTGAAAGGCAGAGTTACAGAGACAGAGAGATCTTCCATCTGCTGGTTCACTCCCCCAGATAACTACAACAGTCAGAGCTGGGCCAAGAAGCTGGAATTCCATACAGAGCTCCCAGGTGCATGGCAGGGGCCCAAGCACGTGGGCCATCTTCAGTTGCTTTCCCAGGAGCATTAGCAGGGAGCTGGATCAGAAGTGGAGCAGCTGGGACTTGAACTGGCACTCGTATGGGATGCCGGCATCACAGGCAGTGGCTTAGTTCCCTGTGCCACACCACCAGCCCCTCTATCTTGTTTCTTGCCAAACCTTCTCACTCTTTGTTTCCGGCCACTCTGGACCCTCCATTTCTCTTCCTCGTCTGTTGGCTTCACACACACTGCTCACTGTGTCTGCAGCACTTGGCTTGACCTCTCCTGGTTCACTCCTGTTCATCCATCAAACTGGAGCCTAGATTTTACCTACTCAGGGAGACCCTCTCTACCCCCTAGATGTCTTGGGCCCCTTCCCCTCCCTCTCTTAGCACTTGGGTGCCTTCTTTCTTAGCATCAGTCTCCTACAGGGATCCGACTAACGTCCACGCTTCCTTTCTTCATACGTGAGGACTACCTTTGTTACTGCTATGTTACTACCACCCAGTACATAGCGACTGCCTGCTATATACTTATTAGTATGTAATAAATTAATGGTTTTTGCAAAAATGGTTTCTAGAAGCCAAGCTACAAAACCTAGTTATGTAGCCTAATTGGCTTGCTCAAGTATAAAATGGGAATAAAAGTAATACCTCCCATAGGGGTGGGCGTTTGGCCTAGAGGTTAAGACACCAGTTGGGCTACTTGCTCATCCCCCAGGTCAGAGCGTGTGACTATGAGTTCTGGCTCTGCTTCTGATTCCAGTTTCCAGTGGCTGCACACCCTGGGAGGCAGCAAGTGACTTCTCAGGTGGTTGGGGCATCCGTGTGGGAGGCGTGGATTGAGTTCCTAGTTCCCAGCGTCACCCTGGCCATGGCCGGTGCTTAGGGAAGGAACCCACATAAAGGATCTCTCTCCCTCTCTCTCTCTCAAATAAATAGAGAAATACTTTTTAAAAATTTCAGTATCTACCTTAGAGGGTTGTTTTGAGGATCAAATGAGATGCGTTGGGGAAGCCTGCAGCTGGGTTGGAGTATTTGGTTGATGCATGCTTACACAGTAAGCAAACCTGTATCCGTTTACCCTCACACCAGCGGATTTTAAGACAGCACCTTTTCATCTCTATACATTAAGTACTGCGTTTTTAAACGTTTTTGTAAAGATTATAGGCCAAAACATCGACATGTTTTAAGTCAACACATATCTTCAAGTCAAAAGCATTCGTCAGTGAGATGACTCCAACCTGCTACTCCATGCCAGGGACACCATAAAGAAAACAACGTTCAGTGCTGCTCTGTCTTCCTGTCCCAGCTCCCTGCGGGGAGGCAGAATCTGAGAGAGGAGCTGCAGGCGTGCAGGTGCATGGTACGTGGCCTGGGCAGCTCAACCGCAGGCGTCTTCACAGCCCCTCCAGCTTTGGCCAGAGTCCTCTTGCTCATCTTCATGGGCTGGTGAGGAGCCCTGCTCTCCTCAGCCAACCCAGGGGGAGGCCTTGACCTTGAACGTTTCCTAGTGACGTGGAACCCACAGGCCCAGTGGCCCCCTACAACTTCCTGTGTGGGGTTCAGACACCCACCTCCCCTCCCGGCCTCGGATGCTTGCTTCGGAAAATGGTGAGTCTCTCTTTACCAAGCCCCCTTTTCATCCTCACTTTGCAAACAATGGCCCTGGGATCTTTACCTCCACAAGTGTCCTAGAAGAGTCCTCTGGCTTACTTTTCCAGAAGTAAGAAGCCGCTCCGCCTGCGCCATCTTACTGCGGTGAGCGCCCATGAGCAGGATGCGGGCGGGCACGCTCTGGAGGGTCCTGGCACTCTGGCTCCTCTCAGGTGAGCGGGCTGGGGTAGGGCATGGGGCGTGTCTCCAGTTTGCTTGGAAGGTTCGCAGCCTCATTTTCCAGGAGATATAGGAATCTGCTTGTGCTACATTAAGGGCGGGTGAATAGGGCTGGTAGCTAACAAAGAATACGTCCCATGGTTCCGGGGAGGCCATTCAGGGAACAGCCCCAAAAAAAGCAACTGGGCTGATCACTTCTATTGAGAACAAGGGAGTCTCTGTTCATCTGTGAGTGAGCCTCGTGATGGTCACAAAAGAGGCTGGAAGAACTAAGCTCCATGCTTTGGGGGAGACTGGATGATTGGACGCCAACTCTGCACTGGGTATAGCAAGTTTAACAGATTTGAGACAAAAAAAAATCATAGCTTTCAGTCTTTTTCAGGTGGCCAAAGCTTTTAATTAGTTTAGCTCTTTTTGAAGCAAGATGGGCTATTTACTGACAAATCACCTAAAGCACTTGCATGTCCCCTAGGAGAAAATAATTCCAAATCTTCACTACAAGTTTCTCATTTATTGAATGCCAGTATTGTATAAAGAAACAGTTCTTCACATGTGCAACCCCGATTTAATCCCTACCCCCGCCCTGGAAGGAAGGTGTCCTAGCTCCTATTTTACAGATGTAGAAATTGATATTCCAAGAACTTATTTGAACTTATTTGAAACCACATGGTAAGTGCTGAAGCTGACCTGGGCAAAGCAGGAGGCTCTGTGTCTGAATGGCTGCACCCCTGAGGCAAAGGCCTAGAAAATGCTCTCACAGCCAGAGCTGAGCCACAGCTGGTACTTCTCCACGTCCTGCTCCCTCTTGGCTTTCTCAAACCCGAGTGTGCGCACCTGTCTCCTGGGGACCTTGTTTAGATGCAGCCTCTGCTCCAGGGGGCCTAATAAGCGCTCCAGTTTATTAGTCTGCTGCTGGTTCAGCGAACACATTGTGCAGCAAGGGGTAGGGTAGAACCCCTGCAGGAAGGGGCCGGGATTTTCTTACAGACCTGGGGTATAAACTATGCTGTTTCTTAACCAGAAGGAGAGGATGGAGGAAGAGGAGGAAGGGGGACAGCAAAAACTAAAGCACCCCCCAGAGATTTGGCATCATGAGAATATGCCCAATCTGTTCTGGGGACGGGGAGTGTCTCACTCCATGTAGACGCTGTTGGGGTACTGTGGTCCAGGCATAGGGAAAGCTTTGAAGCAGTGCCTGGGAGCCTGGCCATCGTAGAGAGTCCAAGCGGTGGCCCAGGGAGACGGCCCTGCAGGGCCCAGAGCAGATGAGATCAGGCCGTTCAACACACAGGCTCTAGCTGATGAGTCATCGCCGCTTCAAGTATTTCCATCTCTGTCTCAGGCCGAAAACAATGGAAAAACCGAGCCATCAGACAAACAGGAGGCAGAGATGGAACGTCTGTGCTCAGCCAAGGGCTTGGTTCTCTTCCACGGTCAGAGACCAAGCTGGTTGCAAAACTCTTTTTTCTCCAGTCATCCACAAAGCAGCCCCTACTTCTTCTGACTTCTGCTTGTCAAATGTCGGGCGCTCAAGCCGGATGCCAGAGGCTTCCGAGCTCGGCCTCCTCCCCAGCTGAGCAGGACCCCCGGGTTAACACCAGCAGTTTGTATTCTGTTCCTGGGGCACAGGAACACACTGATCTGGCGGGGGCGGGGGCGGGAGTGGGATAGGACTGCAGATATTCCTAAATGGACATTTTGCACCACTGCCCTTTTCCTGTTTGCAATTGGAAGCACTCATGCCATTTGCTAACTTTTCCTTTTATTGTTTATTTTCTAGTTGCCGCCTGGGGACAGGAAGGTGAGCTATTGCTTTCTGGTTTTTGTGTGTTCTTTTTTTTTTTTTTTTTTTTTTTTTTTTTTTTTTTAATGAAATCTGCCCAGCTTCTTTGTATTTATGATTGGAGCTTTCTCTAGGCCTCCCTCAGAAATCAATAAAAAGGGTTTCTACCATTTTCCCCTTTGCCTCCTCCTAAGCCTGCAGATAACTCTGCTCAGAAGAGGGAAGCCACAGCGATCACAGGGAATAATGCTCTTCAAGAGAAAAACCAAGGCTGGCAATGATGTAGACGGTGCCACGTTTTCACTTGTTTGCATTTTCCATCTGATGTAAGATTTAGTAGAAGGCATGTGGCCAAAATGTGCATCCAGGGTTCTGTGCAATAAGCCTGGGGACAGCATTCAGAATCACATGTGTGTGTTCATGTGTGTTCATGCACATGCATATGAAGGTGCCTACCTTGCCTGGACATATTTTCCTTTTTTTTTTTTTTAAGATTTATTTATTGAGGGCTGGCACTGTGGCATAGTGCGTAAAGTCACTGCCTATGGCGCCAGCATCCCATATGGGCACTGGCTCAAGTCCCGGCTGCTCCACTTCCCATCCAGCTCTTTGCTAATGACCTGGGAAAACAGTGGCAGATGGCCCAAGTGCATGGGCCCCTGCAGCCTTGTAGGAGACTTGGAAGAAGTTCCTGGCTCCTGGTTTTGGATCGGCTCAGCTCCAGCCATTGTAGCCATTTGGGGAGTGAACCAGGGTTTTGGAAAACCTCTCTCTCTGTCTCTCCCTTTCTCTCTCTGTACCTCTGCCATTCAAATAAATAAATAAATCTTTTTAAAAAAATCCTTCATCTGCTTATTCACTCCCCAAATGGCTGAAGTGGCCAGGGCTGGGCCAAGCCAAAGTCAAGAGCCAGAAATTCTGTCACATAAATCCCATCTGAGCCTCCCATGTGGATCGCAGGGGCCTATGCACTTGAGCCATCTTTCACTTCTTTACCAGGCACATGAGCAGGGAGCTGGATCAGAAGTGGAGCAGCCAGGACTCGAACCAGCAGTCATATGGGATGCTGGCAGTGCAGGCGGCAGCTCAACCTGCTGCACCATAGTGCCAGCCCCTGGACCTTCCCAATCACAGCAGAACAGTCAGGAGGGTCCCATAGTGGAAGTCTGGGTATTCAACCAGCTGTGTCAAACTGAGCGAAGCAATGTTGTGTTAAAGGCAACCATTGCTCCAGTCCGCATCTGTGGCACTGACCAGTTTGCAGCATCCTTAAGAGGCACATTTATCAATAGCCATTTAATAGTTAGCGTAGGCTGCAAGGCCCAACACAGCTTGTGGACTTGTAGATCCATAGTTTTCTGATGTTTGAGGGACAAGTCTCAGGCCATTGGGGGAAGGTCTCATGTGAGTCGCTGAGTGGAACATCACTAATGGCTTCTTATCGTTTCCTTTTCAGATGATGACCACGCTGGTAAGGGAATTTTCACTCCATACAGTCTCTTTGCAAGTGCAGAACAAAATGGTCATGGAGAATAAGCACAGTAATCAACACTGTGAGTCAGAACTGCTGGAGGGAGAGTAGTCACTTCTGTGAGATGAGCCTGAACTTGTTCCCAGCTGTCATGTCTGACCATTGCTATGCACGTATCCCTGAGTGTACTATCACGGAAGAACATGTGCATGCGTGTGGGTTGGAGCTACTGTGCATTTTTTAAAAAGAGGCATTTATTTATTTAAAGGCAGAGTGAAGGAGAGGGAGGCCAGACAAAGAGAGAGCTCTTCCATTCATTGGTTCACTCCCAAATGGCCACAACAACCAAGGCTGGCCCAGGCCAAAGCCAGGAACCATGAACTCCATCCAGGTCTCCCATATGGGTGCAGGGATCCGAGTACTTGAGCTATCATCTGCTGCTTCTCAGGCACATTAGAGGGAGCCAGATTTGAAGTGGAGAAGCTGGGACTCAAACCAGGCTCTCCAACAGGGGATGCAGGTGTCCCAAGCAGCAGCTTAACCCGCTGTGCCACAATGCTCGTTCCTACCACACACTCTTTTTTTTAAGTAAACTATGAGTTCCTGGAAGGCAGAGACAGTGTCTCATTTGCCTGGCATGGTGTCTGGCACATCACAGTGTCTGGAACATCAATGAATTTTTTAAAAAGATTTATTTATTTGAAAGGCAGAGTTACAGAGAGGGAGAGAAACAGGGAAGGGAAGAGAGAGAGAGATTTTCTAGCCACTGGTTTATTCCCCAGGTAGCAACCATGGCCAGGGCTGGGCCAGACCAAAGCCAGGAGCCAGAAGCTTCATCCAGGTCTCCCACATGTGTGCAGGGGCCCAAGCACTTGGGTCATCTTCCATTGCTTCCTAGGCACATAGGCAGGGAGCTGGATGGGAAGTGGAGCAACCGGGACTCAAACTGACACCCGTATAGGATACAGGCATTGCAGGCTGGCTTTACCTGCTGACCACAATGCCAGCCCTCTCAATGAATATTTTTTGAATGAAAAAATGAACAGGGCCCAGCACTGTGGTGTAGCAGATTAAGCCATTGGGATGCAGCACTGGCATCCCAAATGAGAGCTGGTTCAAGTCTCAGCTTCTCCACTTCTGATCCAGCTCCCTGCCAATGTGCCAGGAAAGCAGCAGAAGATGACCCAAGTACTTGGTCCCCTTCACCCATGTGGGAGACCTGGATAAAGCTCCTGACTCCTGGCTTCAGCCTGGAACAGTACTGGATATCGCAGCCATTTGGGGAGTGAACCGGTGGATGGAAGATTTCTGTCCCTCTCCCTGCCTCTGCCTCTCTCTGTAGCTCCACCTTTCAAATACATAAACCTATAAAGAGAAAAGAAATGAACACACATAGGAATGCCTTGCTAATTCCCTTCCTTCAAGAAGTTAGTGGTCTGGAGTAAAAGACAGATACTTGATAATATAATGTGTCACATGCTGTGATACGGGTAGATGCAAACTGACATGAAGCATGAGTGGACTTCAAAAAGTTCATAGAAAATGGAGTAAAAAGATAAGTTTACTTTGGTGCAAAATCTTTTGAAATCCATGTATTGTTTTTTCTTAATACAACATTCCCTAAGAGGTATCTTGGAGAAAGGAGACCAGTTAACTCTACAGGCAAAAGTATAGAAAGGCTCTTTGGGGAGGTGTTCTTCAGCTGAGTTTTAAAGGATGAGCTTGCGTTTTGGGAAGAATATTTTAGGCCTAGGAGATAATGTTGTATGATATGAGGTTAAAAGTCTAACTCAAAAGCTAGATGGTCAACTCCCTGCATCCTGCATTTCTGTGAACAGTTTGATTAACTTCTCTATGCCATAGCCTCGTCGGTGTGAAATGGAGATAGTAATGGTGCGTAGCATGTACAGTTGTTATGAGAATTGGATGTGTAACAGTTAAAGCACTCAGAATGCTGTCTGATGTACAGGTGAAGTCCAGCTGTCGTTATATAGAAAGCACACTGACTATAGATAATGGGCTTTAAAGTTTATTGAGGGGGCTGGCACTATGGCACAGCACGTTAAAGCCCTGCAGCACCAGCATCACATATGGGTACTGGTTCAAGTCCTGGCTCCACTTCCAATCCAGATCTCTGCTATGGCCTGGGAAAGTAGTAGAGGATGACCCCAGTCCTTGGGCCCCTGAACCCACATGGGAGACCTGGAAGAAGCTCCTGGCTCCTGGCTTCAGATCAGCCCAGCTCCAGCCCTTGCAGCCATTTGGTGAATGAACCAGCTCTCTCTCCCTCTATCTCTCTCTGTAACCCTGTCTTTCAAATAAAGAACATAAAAAATTTATTGGGCATTTATGTTCAAGGTATTGCCTTAAATTTTTAAAAAGATTTATTTGCTTATTTATTTGAGAGGCAGAGTCACAGAGAGGAGGAGAGAGAGAGAGAGAGAGAGAGAGAGAGAGAGAGAGAGAGAGATGTCTTCTATCTGCTGGTCCACTCTTCAAATGGCTGTAATGGCTAGAGGTGGGCTAGTCTGAAGCCAGGAGCCAGGAGCTTCTTCTGGGTCTCCCACATAAGTGTAGGGGTCCAAGCACTTGGGCCATCTTCCACTGCCTTCCCAGGCCATCAACAGGGAGCTGGATTGGAAGTGGAGCAGCCAGGACTTGTGGCATGCCAGCACTACAGGTGGAGGCTTAACCTACTATGCCACAGTACCGGCACTAGATTTTTTTTTTTTTTTTTTTGAGAGGCAGAGATAGAAGGAGAGCAGGCCTCAAATGCCACAACTGGCACTGCACCAAGACTGAAGCCTGGAATCAGGAACTCAGTCCAGGTCTCCCATGCGGGTGGCAGAATCCCAATTACTTGAGCCACCACTGCTGCCTCCCAGAGCCTACATCAGCAGGAAGCTGGTCTGGAGCTGGAGCTGGGAGACTTGAACCCAATACTACAATGTGAGAATTGGGTGTTTTAACTGCTAGGGCAGCCTCGTCCTAAATGTTTTACCTGAGTTTCCTCATTTAATTATTCTGACATTCCTATTCTACAGATAGAAAGTCAAGACTTAGAACAGAAACTCGAATTGCAGAGCTATAAACATAAATTGATAGGGTACTGAAGCCCCTTTTCTTAATCACTATAAGCTACTGCCTCTGGCTGTGTGTGAAATCTTTGTGAGCATACTTGTGTCTGAGCATAGACATCCGGGCTCCGGGATGAATATGTCCCAGCTCTGCTAACTGGATTCATCCCAACACAAGTATGAGCGACTTTCTTTTCATTGTGTTTTTTTTTTTTTCAAACAAACATATCAAGTAGAGTATGTCTTTTTACTTTTAAGTTGTTTTTTTTTTTTTTTTTTTTTTGACAGGCAGAGTGGACAGTGAGAGAGAAAGACAGAGAGAAAGGTCTTCCTTTTCCGTTGGTTCACCCTTTTTAAAATTTTTTTAAGAAAAGAATTTGGGGCCGGTGCTGTGGGGTGGCAGGTAGGGCCACCACCTGCAGCGCCGGCATCCCATGTGGGCACCAGTTCAAGATCTGGCTGCTCCACTTCTGATCCAGCTCTCTGCTGTGGCTTGGGAGGGCAATGGAATGTGGCCCAAGTCCTTGGGCCCCTGCACCAAGTGGGAGACCCAGAGGAAGCTCCTGGCTTCTGGCTTCAGATTGGCACAGCTTCAGCTGTTTCGGCCAGTTGGGGAGTGAACCAGCGGATGGAAGACCTCTCTCTCTTTCTCTCTGCCTCTCCTTCTCTCTTTGTGTAACTCTGAGTTTCAAATAAATAAATAAACCTTTTTAAAAAAGAAAATGATTTATTTATTTTATTTGAAAGTCGGAGTTACAGAGAGAGAGAGACAGAGAGAATCTTCAAAACAGTGGCTCACTCCCCAAATGGCCACAATGGCCAGAGCTAGGACACACCGAAGCCAGGAACCAAGAGCTTTTTCTGGGTCTCCCACATGGGCGCAGGGGCCCAAGCACTTGGGCCATCTCCTACTGCTTTCCAAGGCCATTAACAGGGAGCTGGATTGGAAGCAGAGCAGCTGGTCTTGAACTGGTGCCCACATGGGATGCCGGCGCTGCAGGCAGCAGCTTAACCCGTTGTTTTAATGGTGATGTCTAATTCATGTAGCATTTCTAAGAAACTACTTAAAAGTCAAAATCATATCAACTGTTTAGTGTTATTATGCTCTACTTCCAATTACTAGCAAGTGGAAAAACCTGGAGAATTTTTGACTTACATTCCGCAGGCTACCAGAGCAGGCTAGGTCAGAGTTCGGCTGTTTTTCACAGTAGCAGGACCCCAAGAAGGAATGGAAGAGAATGCCAACACCTGGACTTGCATACTCCTTTTTAAATTTTTAAAATTTATTTGAAAGGCAGAGAGAGAGAGAGAAGAGAGGGAGAGAGAGACAGAGACAGAGACAGAGACAGAGACAGAGATCTTAAATCCATAGTTTACTTCCCAATGCCTACAACTGCCAGGGATGAGCCAGGCTGACGCCAGAAGACAGAAACTCCATCCAGGTCACCCATGTGAGTGGCACTCGAACCAGCGTGCTGCCCAGGGTGCACACTAGCAGGAAGCAAGATTGGAAGTGGAGGTGGGACGTGATCCCAGGCACTGTGAAATGGGATGTGGGCATCGCACGCAGCAGGCTCTTAAACTGCTGTGCCACCGCACCTGCCTCTCCTACTCCATTAACCCTCACCGAAACCCCGTTGGGTGAGGCTCTGAGGTTAATTGACTTGCCCCCGGTCACACAGGCTAGGGCAGATCTGGACTTCAAACACAGGGCTTCTGACTGAGCAGAGTGCTCCTTCCCCAGTAGAACGCTGTCTGTGAGCAGCCCTGTATCTCCTCTCTACCAGCTGCCATGTCCAGGTTCTGGTGTAGCCCAGTGCTACCCAGTGCTCCGGCCACAAATCTCCCAGGAAACAAGGACAGACTGTTTGCCAGGTGATTAGTGGATTTCAGTCGTCCACACCTCCCTCTAACAGAAACAAATGAGAGATGAGTCCGCAGATATAATGTACAAACAATACAGCTTTGTACCACGTGTAGAGTGCACCACATAATTTAAAGGCAATTAACAGAGAAAAATATATGGAATAAGAAGAAGGATGTTGGTCTCTATTATGAAGAACTCTAACATAATGAAGACTTTCTGACTCATGGGAAATAGGTGAGCCCAGGAATCAGCGATTCAGAGATCACTGATTCCTGGTCTTTGGGAAGGGCCTTTGGCCTCATAGCTGGGATGCCCGTTAAGACACCCATGTCCTGGTTCCTGGTGTTACACAGCACAGCGAGGAGACTGCAGTCCACAGGAACTCAGTCGATAGTGTATGAACAAATAGAAGAGAGAAGCTCCAAGCCTCTAGTCCTAAGGTGATGACAGAGGAGGGGAGGGTTGATGACCCTGTTTGGGTCAGCACCATCGAATCCAGGTATTGAAGTGGTACACTGTAGCCCATCAGTAGGTACAATTACTGTTAATTTTTTAAAAAGTTTTAAAGGAAAATTTTAAAAATAAAGAGGCTTCTTTCTTTTTAGCATATTGGCATCCTTCAAATATTTTGTGGAAAATAGAAGTAAGGGGAGACATTTATTTTGGTGCAAAAAAAAATGGAAATCCCTACATATCAGGAGTCTTCAAAATCTTTTTAAAATATAGATTATGAAAAAGCTATGCATGGATTGCAGGCTCTTTTTTGTACCAAAACGAACTTGTCTTTTAGATTAATTTCTCCATGAACCCTTAGAAGAATCCTGATGTTTTCCCCTAATTATATTTCCCCCTAATCTTGCATAGCATAACAAGAACGACTACACCAAACACAGCAGTTATTAATTAAAACATGAACAATACTGAAAGTCATATATGGATGCTCATTTTCTCCAGTCTGAGGAATCCACCAGTTATTTAGTCACATGACCTAAGTGCACCTGAGTTTCTTCCGTCTACGCTGTCTGGTTAAATGCATGTTATTGAGATGACTTACAGCATTTAAATTTACAAGTGCAAAAATACAAGGTACCTTGAGACTTAAGAAAGACGATAAAATAAGGATTGGCACATCCTACCACAGAATGAGATTTCTTCTCCAGAGTGTGAAACTCTGATGAACAACATATAACTTGACAATGAAAAGTCAACGTGAGAATGAACAGGGAAGACTCAAATATAGTAGCTCCTCCCACGATATGCATATGAAAAAAGAGATCTGTGTGGGTTCAATGTCCAGCTCTAGCTCCTGACTTTGACTTCCTGCTATCGTAGACTCAAAAAAAAAGGCCACAGGGTTGACTCAAGTATTGGGTTCCTGCTACCTGCATGGATGGTGTTCCAGCTCCTGCTTTGGCTGGCCCACTCCCAGCTATTGCAGGCATTTGGGAATGAGCCCAGGGATAGGGTCTCTGTCGTCTATCTCTTCCTCTCACTCTCTGCCTCCAAAATAAATACATAAAGACTTGAAAATATATGGAGCTTTTCATCACTAAATCATTTCATTTCTATCTGCAATATGATCCTGGCTAATGCAAAAGGATAAACTCAAAGCTTTCTAGAGGCACTGGAGTGGGGAGCAGCTGGCTAAGCTGCCGCCTGTGACTCCAGCATTCCATATGGGTGCCAGTTTGTGTGCCTGCTGCTCCACTTCTGATGCAGCTCCCTGCTAGTGGCCTGGGAGAGCAGTGGAAGATGGCCCAACTTTTGGGCCCCTGACACTCACATGGGAGACATGGACAAAGTTCCTGGCTCCTGGCTCCATCCTGGCTGTTGGGGCCACTTGGGGAGTGAACCAGCAGATGAAAGATCTTTCTCTCTCTCTCTCTCTCTCTCTCTCTCTCTCTGTAACCCTGACTTTCAAATAAAGTAAATAAATCTTTAAAAATTATAGTAAAATATACTGAAACTGGGGTTATTTTCTCACCACTGTTTTACCTTTTCATTTCCAGATGATTATACACAGAAATGTGAGTTTATCAGTCCTTTATTGCTGCCCTGTCTGGTGACACAGGTTGGTGGGTAATAGAGAAAGAACTGATGGGAGGAGATTAACTTAGCACCGAGGTGTTCCGATATTAGATTCCCGTTGCAGTCCTGGGTTTTTTCTCACCACCGCCCACCCTTTCCCAAGTCACCGTGACCCTGCTTAAACCCTGAAGCCACCTTCCAAAAGCTCCCCCGGTTCCCTAGTCCACACCCTCCAGCCAGAGGAGGCCCTCTGGTGAGCACATCCAAGATTGGGATGACAGGTGACTTTCATCACTGGGTTGGTCCTTTTGTCACTAGCCTGCCTTTTCTGGAATGTTCCTGGTGCCCCACCACCACCACCACCAATTCCCTTGTCCTCTCTCCCATTGCCCAGTATTTACAGTCTCCATCTCTGGAACCCGTGTGGTGCTGACATGCCCTGTGGAAGCTGAAGGTGGTGACATACATTGGGAAAGAGATGAAAAAAGTCTTCCAAATACAAAGAAGGAACTAGACCTGACGGATTTTTCCGAAATGGAGCACAGCGGTTATTACTCCTGCTATGTGGGCACAAAGAACAAGGAGAATGAGCATATTCTCTACCTGAAAGCCAGAGGTACTGTGGGCCTGCAGAACAGGCTGGGCCGGGCCCTCCGGGGAGGACCATTTCCAAAGGGCGTCCCCATGGCTTCCCCTAACCCTGCCCCTCTGGGCTTTCTCCTGCACCTGATGCCACCTGGCATCACTGTGTTCTGGAACACAGACTGAACACCCATACGTGGCTGGCTGTGTGACCTCGGCCAGCGCTTGATCTAACAGCAGCTTCCCACAAGGTATTTGCATGGTGTCACACCCGGAATCCTGGTGCACCGATACGGCTTTATCTTGAGTTTTATCCTGAGAGAGCCATTCTTTTGATGAACTTGCAAAAGAGCCTCCAAGTCACTACAATAAAATGTCATAGAAAACACGGCATGCTCATAATAATGATAGTGATTGTCGAGGGCTGAGGTTTCAGGCACTGAACCAAACACCTGCCAGGGAGTCTTTCCACGCCATCCCCGCAGCAGCCCCAGGTTAAACACTTTATTTCTCTCCTGTAGATGAGGAGACTGAGGCTTAGTGGGGTGAACATGCCTCACACCACTCTCAGCTAGTGCGTGACGGAGCTGGGACTTGAACCCAGGACTGTTGGCGTCCAGCGTGTCTACCCATAACCACCACACTCTGCTTATTGCTGTTGTCATTGTAATACACAGTCAGCTAGAGGAAGGGCTCGGGCCGTGGGGAGCCTGTCGGCGCTGCGGGGAGACTCGTCTGCGGTTGGTCCTTTCTCTTCTCCGGCATGCCGGGGTTTTCCTTCCCGTGAGTTCTTCTCTTCCTCCCTCCCCGGTCCCCCCGCAGTGTGTGAGGCCTGCATGGAGGTGGACCTCACGACGGTGGCCTCCATTGTCGTAGCTGACGTCTGCGTCACCCTGGGCTTGCTGCTGCTGGTCTACTACTGGAGCAAGAACAGGAAGGCCAAGTGCAAGCCTGTGACGCGAGGAGCGGGTGCTGGTGGCAGGCCCAGAGGTGAGCCGGCACGGCTGGGGAGGGGAGGTTCTTCCTGGGGCGGGAAGGGCAGCGAGGCCCTGGCGAGGTCAAGACAGCGTCTGTAGAATCCCTCCCACGCTGGGCAAGGGCGAGAGCGGTTACCAGCACGGTGGGCTCCTCAAACATCTGTCCGTGCCCTGGAGGCCTCGGAGTCCAGGGGCGGCACCTGGCACAGCAGTTGAGACATCGCCTAAACGCCCACACCTCACATCCCAGCGCCTGGGTTCAAGTCCCGGCTCTGCTTCTGATCCAGCTTCCTGACATACACTCTCAAGTTCTCGGGTCCCTGCCTCCCTTGTGGGAGGACCGGACCGAGTTCCTGGATCCTGGCTTTGGCCTGAGCTGTCGCGGGCATTTGGGAAATGATCTAGCAGGTGGAAGATGACCAACTGTCTGAGTATCTCTGCCTTTCAAACAAAATTTTTTAATAAAGATTTTATTTATCCATTTGAGAGGCAGAGTTACAGATAGAGAGAGGGAGAGACAGAAAGGGCTTCCATCCGCTGGTTCACTCCCTAAATGGCCGCAATGGCTGGAGCTGAGCTGATCTCAAAGCCAGAAATCAGGGGCTTCTTCCAGGTCTCCCGAGTAGGTGCAGGGGCACAAGGGCCTGGGCCATCTTCCACTGCCTTCCCAGGCCATAGCAGAGAGCTGGATCGGAAGTGGAGCAGCTGGGACTGGAACCGCACCCATATGGGATGCTGGCACTGCAGTCAGGAGCTTAGCCCACTACTGGCCCCTCAAACAAATTTTGTTAAAAAGTTAGATTCCTGCCCATCATAGGCATCTGGGGAATGAAACAGCCGACGGGGAACTCCCCTCGCCTGTGTCTGTCTCTCTACACTTAAATAAATAATTTGAATTTTTAAAAAATAAATTAGATTCCACCTCCAAGCTGTGAGAACAGAGAAGTTGGGATGTTCCTGCCTTTTCCTTTCCCCTCCTCCATGGGAAGAAACAAGAGGGCCTTGGGCCGGGGAAAGTCACCCAATGATGGGAGGCAGCACAGCTTGGGGACGGAGGGGAGGAGAGGAAAGAACAGCGCGGCGGCCATCCTGAGCCCAGCCGGTGGCCATGGTCGGGCAGCAGGACTGCTGCTGCTGCCTGGAGATGCAGTTCCTCCCCTCTCTCTTTGCAGGGCAGAACAAGGAGAGGCCTCCACCTGTTCCCAACCCAGACTACGAGGTAACAGGGGTGGGGTAGGAGGGATGGGGGGTAGTGCTAGGGAGCAGGGTTGGGGGTGGCTTCTGGGGCAGAAGGGACAGCACCTCCGGTGCCAGCCTCTGCCTCCGTCATGGGAGAGCAGGAGGCCTATCAGAGCCTTCATGGCTTCCACAGCCTTGGGGAGGTGGGGGTTCGGGGAGGGGAGAGTTAGAGGAGAGACACACTCTTCTTTTTTTGGTTTATTCATTGGCCACAAAGCATAACCATAATGCAGATTCTAACCTGATGCATTCAGAGCTGATACTCCACCAGCATGCACCAGTAAGGATACCAGTTCCTAAAGGGTGAAATGCCTCAGCTTCCCCCTGCCCCGCTGACTGCCCCTAGAGATGGAATGCCTAGTCTGGGGGGGATGCCGGGCTGGTCTGGCTGTCCAGTGTGCGCACTCCTGCTGTTGGATACTTTTTTTTTCTTGAAAAAAAAATTATAATTTCTTATTATCATTCCAAATCTCATTTGAAGCCCTTAACAACTAATTATTATGAACCTTTAATTAACTATGCCTTTAAAATGCTTCCTTCTTATCACAGAAGTCTGTTGTAGCCATTTTCAGGGACCTCAAAGACTTCAGTGTCTTTAAGGCTCCTAGCATGGCATCACTATTGCCAGCTTTTTCTAGATTTCTGCAGAAGCACAACAGGTAAGCAGATTCATCGGCTGGCTTTGGATACTTTGAATGTCACACCTGCAAGCCAAGCAGGTGATGGTTGTCACTTAAATGGCTTCATTTAAATCTGACAAAAGCTCCTGCAGGTGGGTGGCCCTTTAAGTTCCCATTTTTGAGATGGGAAGGCTGAGAGAGTCCGGCAGAGTCTCTTATGCTCCTGCCAAGTTAGGGTGCGAGCCTGCCTGCCCACTCTGTCTCAGGTGCTTGCCCGCGAGATCTTTTGTGCCTTTTTTTTTTTTTTTTTTTGACAGGCAGAGTGGACAGTGTGAGAGAGAGACAGAGAGAAAGGTCTTCCTTTGCCATTGGTTCATCCTCCAATGGCCGCCGCGGCTGGCGCGCTGCGGCCAGCGCACCCCGCTGATCCGAAGGCAGGAGCCAGGTGCTTCTCCTGGTCTCCCATGGGGTGCAGGGCCCAAGGACTTGGGCCATCCTCCACTGCACTCCCGGGCCATAGCAGAGAGCTGGCCTGGAAGAGGGGCAACCGGGACAGAATCCGGCACCCCGACTAGAACCCGGTGTGCTGGTGCCACAGGCGGAGGATTAGCCTAGTGAGCCGCGGTGCCCGCCTCGCCTTTTCTTTCTTAGGACCTACTTCCTCTCCCCCTACTGAGCAACCCCTTTTTATTCCACCGCAGCCCATCCGGAAAGGCCAGCGGGACCTGTATTCTGGCCTAAACCAGAGAGGCATCTGACAGCTCCAGGAGTCACTGCCTCCCGGGGCACAGGTCTGGCTCCTCCCCAGGCACCCTGCTTGTGCTTGGCCCTGGACAAGCCTTGGAGCACCCCAAGAACATTGTCCCTCAACCTCATGGTGGACTCCTGCAACCTCCTCTGGGTCCTGGGAAGCCGCTTGGGGACATCGCCACTAGCCACGCCCCTGCACCTGGCCTGCCATCGGGACATTCATTTCTGCTATTCTCGCCCATCCTACGGCCCCCTACCCGCGTGAAAGTTGCTTCCACCTTCAGTGCCCTCCTCCTTCTGCGTATGGCCTGTCCTGTGTCCCTAACTCTTCCATCTATCTTCCTATTTTTCCAGCCCTCTCTTTTGCAAGCCTCCCTGGGATGGACCCACAGCCCTGCCCCACGCACAGACCTTCCCGCATTGCCAGCCCGTGCTCCCTCCCCTCCATGGTCATTTGTGACTCTGTGTGTGCGCTAGGCCCCTCTCCCTTGAGCAAAAGAACTAAAGTGTATTTGGCCAAAAGAGTTGCTGTCCGTCCTTTCTGGGAGGCTTCGGGGTCCACCTTAGTTCCTAAGACGGTTCACATCTTGCTACCTGTGATTAAATTCTTGGCTATGATCCAAATGCAAGCCCTACCTGTGTTCACAGCTGATGGGGGCATTGTGTGCAATGCTCTCTTTGGAGAGGGAGTGGGGGGTGGGGAGAGATGAACTGTTTTCTCTTAGAGGAAAATCGCAGAGGTGGCAAAGTGACTGCTGGGTCCCTGATAGATCAGATCAGACACTGGTAGGACAGAGAGGCCCAGAAAGGCAGACGAAGGCCCCAGAAAGGAAGGGGGTGAGGATGCAGGAGGATGGGCCGCAGGTGTCCACACGCTGTCAGGAAAGGCAGCAGGCAGCGGGAAGTGGGGGAAGGAGGCCCTGTGAGGCAGGCCCACGCCCTCCACCCGAGACGCAGCAGCTCAGAGCCAGGGGCAGGCTGCGGTTAGGCAGCACAGGATGTGGGCTGCGAGCAGTGAGGGCGAGCGCGGCAGCAGCCAGGGGCCCCCAGCCAGCGTGACAGCGCTTGGTTCCCAGCCTCCCACAGAACCCTCAGCTGGCGAGACACGAGCTCGCCAGAGCCCTAACACCGAGGGGCTCTTTCAGCCCAGCTCCCACCAGCGGGCTCCCTTCCCGCCCTCTCTGCGCTCGGAACCCTGCCTGCGGACCACAGTGCTATTTCTGTGTGACCACGACAAAATCGGCCACCAGTGATGAGCTCCTCCCCATGCACTTGTTTGGCCTTGGCCTTGCAGCCACAGCCTCTGTTTGTCGGTCCCTGTTGAAGCCTCGCTTCTCTCCCTCTGAGCATCGATGGGCCTCATGCTCACAGGGAGTCCGCGATGCCACCTGTCACCAGCTGCACATCAGCAGGCTGGCACGGGAGGGCCGTTGTGTCTCAGGTATATTGGGTGGCACCAGTCAGAGGGACGCCTGGCTCAGTGGGACCAGAACAAAAATAGCTAGCATTTATTGAGCATTTACTATGCTCCAGAAATTGTGCTTGCTTTACAAGCTTTGATCCTGACTCCACAAGGTAGGCGTCGTCACCCTCATTTTACAGGTGGGGGGCACTGAAGCTCACACAGGTGAAGTCAGTTGCCCCGTCACAGAGCCGAGATGGGCAGCAGGGGCTGTCTGACTGCGGTACCCAGCGATGGCTGTCATCCTAAACAGTGCATTTCATTTCCTGCCTTCCAGGCTGTGTCTAATTGTCTGGGGATTCCTTCAAGAAGCACTTTTCTCACTATTCATGGGGCAACCAGCACGGTGCTCAAGCTGAAAGGGATTCGTGGTGCTTGCAACCCCATGGCAGGGCCAGGCACGCAAACAGCTCAACAGCAACGCGAGAGCAGGGATGTGACCCAGCCCGCGGGGGTGTTCCAGACGTTCAGGGGGTGTTGAGGCAGCGGGGGAAGCTCCAGGCAGGGGAGACTGGAACCAGGGGTTGAAGGGAAGGTGGATGAAATTCAGAGACACGGAACATTGGAGAGAAGGGGATGGACAAAGGCTTCAAGGTAGGCAAGCCCCCTCTGAGGAGCCGACCCACTTAAGGGAAGGAGAAGGGAACTGGCGATGGGCGCCTGCTGTGTGCAGGCCCCTGCCCAAGCACTCGCCATGCGGTATCTCTCTCAGTCCCCGGCATGCCGCGGCACCGTGGGTATGGTTCTCTCCACTTTGCAAAGAGAACACTGTGAAGTAACTTCCTGAGACCCCGCAGCCAGGAAGTGCAGGCCTGGAATTCAGACTCCGCACGGGTCTGCTTTTGCTTTATTGAGGTGCTGTGAGTAAGGAGGGTGCCCAGACTATGCGCCAGGCGCTCGTGGGTCCCGGCAGCACCCAGCCACAGCAACACAGAGGCTGGCCGTCCTTCTCTGTGCCCTGCTCAGCTCTCCCCTCCATCCTCCTGGGTGGCTGTGTGTCTTGTGGCGTTCCCAGGTGTCCCCCCAGTCCCTGCCCTGCGTGCCCCAAGCAGATGAGGCTCACTCCGGCTTCACGGAGGACAAAGGCTGGCCCCAGGGCCCCAGCCCCCCACCACCTGCTTCCTCAGCTCCCCTTCCAGACCAAAGGCGTTTCCCACCGACCCCCAGCCTCTCCCCGCTCACCTCTTCCAGGGTCTCCCCAGGGTGATCCCTTTTGGCTTGATCCCCCGCTCCACTGCTCACAGCTCATGCCAACGGAAGCTCCCCCATGGCCCGGCAGGCCCCCTGCCCAGACGCTTCCAGAGCGCTCTCTGTCCTTTCCCCCAAATTTCTCCAAAGAGAGGTCTACACTCACTAGGCCAGCTTCCTCCCTTCCCTTCACACTCTGGCTTCCTCCTCCACCCTTCCAGAAACTTCCGCTCCGGCCCCAGGGCTCTCCTTCTACCCAGCGCCAGAAGGCACAGCAGCAGCCTTGCAGGATCAGACCACCCGGAGGAGGCAGGCGCACCGGACCGCTGGCTTCCATGGCATCCACGACACCGCCTCCTCCTCCTCCCTTCTCTCGCGATTCCCTCGCATCCCCCAGCTCCACCGCCACCTGCTCCGTAAACACCGGAGGTCTGCTTGCATCTCAGTGCTCCTTGGCTGTCTTCCTTAGACTCGCACCTCTGTCCCTGGATGAGAGAGGACAGCTGCCCGAGCCGCAGGCGTGTTCTAGGTGTGTCCATCTGGAGTGCCACAGACTCCACACACATCGCAGATTCAAGATGTTCAGAACTGAAATCACTGACCCACCCCCACCCCAACCCCTCAAACCATCTCCCCCCACTCTATGTCCCACCCTAGTGGGAAAAGTGAAGAGTACCCCTCAGCCTAGGGATTAGGCCAGAACCTCGAAGTTGGCCAGTATGCCACTGTATTCCATCTTCCATGTTCAACTGGTCACCAAATAGCACTCCTTAAACGGCTGTTAAAAAAAAAAAAAGATTTATTTAATTGGAGCGGGGAGGGAGAGAGAGAGATCTTCTATCCACTGGTTCACTCCCCAAATGAATGGGGTTGGTCCAGGCTGAAGCCAGGAGCCCAGAGCTCCACCAAGGTTTCCCACTGAGGTAGCAGGGCCCAAGCACGTGGGCCGTCTCTGCTGCTTTCCCAGGAGCATGAGCTGGGAGCTGGATTGGAAGGGGTACAGGTGGGACTCAAATCAATGCTCTGGTATTGGATGCCAGCATTGCAGGTGGAGCTCAACTTGCCATGCCACAACACCAGCCCCTAACTAAGTCTTCAGTCTGGTATTTTTTCTGTTTCAGCTATCAGAATTAAGCTCCCATGCCACTTCCTGCCTAAAGATCTTCCTATATATCACCTCCTACAGAAAAAAACCACTCTTTTTTTTAAGGTTTATTTATTTATTTGAAAGTCAGAATTACACAGATAGGGAGAGAGAGAGGTCTTTCATCTGCTGGTTCACTCCCCAAATGGTCACAATGGCCAGAGCTGCGCTGATCCAAAGCCAGGAGCCAGGAGCTTCTTCCAGGTCTCCCACGCAGGTACAGGGGCCCAAGCATTTGGGCCATCTTCCACTGCTTTCCCAGGCAACAGCAGAGAGCTGGATCGGAAGTGGAGCAGCTGGGACTCGAACCGGTGCCCGTATAGGATGCCGGCACTGCAGGCAGTGGCTTTACCCACTATACCACAGCACCAGCCCCAACCCACTCTTTCTTTAGCTTTACCCCCCAGATCTCCAGCCTTGGGTCACTACCATCTCTCCAGTCTTGCCTTCCAACACGCTCCACCTTGACCTTCATGCCCTAGCAAAACAAAATCTCTACATTCTCCCACGCCTTGCCCCATGATGCCTCTCCTGCCGTCTTACCTGAAGCTCTTTGTCAGGGCTCTCCTTTCTTGCCCCTGTTTTTCACCCGACTTCCATTGATCCATTAAAACTAGTGAGACAACAATGTCATCCCGAAAAACTTTCAAATCTCCCCAGTCTAGGCAGAGGCCACTACGGCTTGGTGTCACGGAACTCTGCATAATTCAGTCACATCCCTACCATTATGCTTATCTGTTTACACATTGAATGAAAGAATTGATGGATGAGTGAGTGGATGGATGGATGAATTTCGTTACATAGGAAAACATCTGTATTTTCCCTTGGTATCCCCAGCTCCTACATAGTTCAGAGCCTAGTTCATAATATATGTTTGTTTATTTATTTATTTATTTATTTTGACAGGCAGAGTGGACAGTGAGAGAGAGAGACAGAGAGAAAGGTCTTCCTTTACCGTTGGTTCACCCTCCAATGGCCGCGGCCAGTGCACCACGCTGATCTGAAGGCAGGAGCCAGGTGCTTCTCCTGGTCTCCCATGGGGTGCAGGGCCCAAGCACTTGGGCCATCCTCCACTCCACTCCTGGGCCACAGCAGAGAGCTGGCCTGGAAGAGGGGCAACCGGGACAGAATCCGGCGCCCCGACCGGGACTAGAACCCGGTGTGCCGGCGCTGCAAGGCGGAGGATTAGCCTAGTGAGCCGTGGCGCCGGCCTTTCATAATACATGTTCAGTAACTGTTGAGTGGAACTGGCCTGGAAGGTGATGGCTGACAGAATTTCCAAGGCAGACCAGGAAGAGGTCTAAACGAGATCTCTGTTTTACTAACTCACAGAAAGACAAT